GTCGTTTATAGTAGCAAATACTCACTGGAAGGAGCATATTTGGTATTTAAGATTTCCTGAAGACTAGAGCTTCTGGCAGTAATCCTTCCATTCAAACTAGTCTTGATTATCTCAGGTAAAGAGCAGGTAGTTCCAGAAAGTCTAACGTGCCCCCGARTCTCCTTTTCTTATAACACACAGGAACGTTGTTTAGCTTTGTTGGGTCAGTCAAAATGCTAAAAAGGGGCTGGAAGTTTGATCATCAGCCACTCAGTCCGTTGTGACTTGTTTCTTTCCCCAACTGTTTTTATTTATTACCAAGATGGCATCAACCCCGGTGCTTCCACTGCTATTGATCAGAGACCGAGCTCACATTCACACCACGAACTTTCTCCGTCTTGTAGCCTTTGTTCTTATGAAATAAAGAACCTTGCTCTAACTCTTCTAACTGAATTTCTTACCTAATGAATCTTTCCAGATAGTCTATTTCCTTCAAGTAAGAGCCACGGAAAATAAATCAATGTGGATCATGTTAATTACTTTTCATAAAAAACTKCAGAGTTTAGTATCTGTTATGACAAAATCAATATATTATTTGAATATATATTTGTGATATATTGAGATAACAGTGTTGTTGTCATTTTGAATTTGCTGCTTTCTTGACCATGTATGTGCAACTTGATTCTAAAAAAAGTATAAAACTCACCATATTTTATTTTATTATACATGTGCATTATCTGAACTTTAAGAGCTATCAATATTGATATAATATTTTACTAGCAACTGGCATGCAATTTTTTTTTCCAGTAGATGGTACAATAAAAGATTTTACTGCACAACTTTCTCCCTTTATGTTCACATCATTATTACTGCAACACCCCTGTTACTTGTAAAACACCACTGAAAATACTGAAATTGGCATCTGAAAAAAAAAATACAGAACATGGCATGAAACTAGATTAAATGCTCCAGGTGCCTAGATTAGGCAGAATGAAAATAGAAAAGACTGGTAAACAACTCACCGCCTGCCCTCTCTAATTCCATTTGCCCTCCCTGCACTGAGGTAGTTGGGTTTGGTGGTTGTTTTTCCCTGTGGATACTCAAGTTGTTCCTTCATTCCCTCCACCTGATGCAGCCTTTCTCCTTTAATAGGAACATACACAGATAAAAAAAGGGACCAGTTGTCATAACAATGCTGTGGACGTTCAGTTTGTAGTCTATTTATATTCCTCAAATGCTTTTCTGATGGTTAATCTTTCTGTTACTCAAATTGCAATTAAAAGCGTAGTATGATCCCAGGCACTAAAAAGAGCCCTATTGAAGATATCTTTCCAATCTGAGAGTGAGTCATCGACAACCACACTCCAGGAACAGTTTTCCATCCACTAGATCTTTGCATGATTTCAAAGATTGGAAGATTGGATAAAGTTGATGAATTGCTCACAAAATCTACTAGTTTATCTTTTTGGTTCACTTGACTACCCAAAGTTTAGAATTCCCTGGGTTCTTTCAGGTAGGATGAGAAATTAGTTAGGAAGCCAAGTGTAAAATATGTAYGAACTCATCTAGTTAAAAAAATAGGAAAAAGAAAAGAAATCAAAATGATTTCAAATGATAAATCAAACCATGGAGAAATCAAATGATAAGGTTGGGAGGGTAGCCTTTCCTGATTCCAGTTTTTTCAGTTAATGATAGACAGCAGTTCTTGCTAGACTTCATTTAAGAATGACATCTCTGGGCTTTTCTGTGTGCTGCTTTCGCTTTCTCTTCCTTCTGTGGATATGTTCTTGGGGTAGGAATGTTGTGTTTGCTTCTTTCAAATATATACATTTAGTTCTGAAACAATATTGAGAAAAAACAGTAGGCAAATTTTATCTTGTATGCCTGCCATAGGTGGGCACTACTAGGGAGCTTTTTGCTCCAATATTGCAATTTTGCTCTTATTTCTAAGGAAAAGGTGCCAGTTTCAGGGAGTTGATACCTTGTTTGGTAAGTACCACAGCAATACCCCTCTGCTAACAAACCCTGCCCGTTTAGGTGCCGAATCTCAACCTGGAGAAGAATGATCTCCTATGAGCAATATCTCTGAAAGGGCTACTACAGGCTGGTCCTTTTTTGAAGAAAATACTTATATACCTTGTAGAAAAACTAGCTTGGTAGACTAAGAAATTATTATTATTTTTTTAATATAAGAGAAGCACTGTGTGCTTACAGCTCTTACACAATCCTCTGTGTCTTGTCGCATGGTGACCGTCACAGGGATGTGTTTCCATACTCTGGAGATGGACATATGCTCCAGCAAAGGGACAAAAATCTTAACCCGGCGGTTGGAGGCAAACCACATTTTCCAACTGAGGCAGACCCTGGCACGCTCCACATGTTTCATGCTTTAAAGGCTCCTGGCACAAAAACAAAGCTATATAAATGTGTTGGCACGAATAGGAGACAGATGTTGCCTCCACATGCACCCATCGGAATCTAACTGCTAATTAAATTAATTTTTTTTTTACTTTGTTGGCATGGTCACTTGGGGAATCAGCTAGGGATGATGCCTGTAAGCTACAGCCTGTATTTTATATAACTTTCAGCAAGCAACCAATATTTTAACACTGTGGTTAGTGGTTCTGAGGGGGAAATTGCTTGATTAGTGGCAGCTCCTATTAAAACTGTAAAGCAAGGAGGAGGATTTACAGATGCAGAATTGCCTTTCGACAGCAGGAATGGGAACAGAGGCTACCCACTATGCCTGGGGCATGRAGAGATTCATGTTACTGCTAACAAGTGAAATTGTGTGCAGACAAAGCCAGAAGAAGAGGACTGAGATGAGCCCAAAGCAGACAGTGTTTCTGCTGATTTCTAAAAAGCCTTTAAAAAGTGCAGAACTTCCTTGCATTTTCGTCATTCCTTACAAATTTCCAAGACTCACCAGACTTCAATAAACCATCAAGGTGCTGTTCTGTGTGCCAAGCTGTCTCCCTCTCCCCCTTTTCTCACCTGACACAGGCAACCAAAAGCTGGTCTTCCAAAATAGGACAGACTGTGCTCAAATTGAGAGTCTATCTGGCCTTGGCATCTGACATTTTTCTGGCGTAGCTGCGTGGTGGGGAGGCCAGAGCAACGGGAACCGAACGTGCATCCRAGTGGTACAGCTCGATTGCAGGCGTTTTGTGTGTGCCTAACTCCAGCCAGGAACCTTTCATCAGATACTGTTTATTTGAATAAGAATTTAAACTTAAAATAAAAGTGTCTCTCGATGGAGAAKCGGCTCTCCTACAGAGCTGGTTACCTTAAATGTTAAAAATGGGAATTATTTCTGGTTTACTTACTCTCAAGGTCTCTGTCCAAATACTACTTAGGGAAAAGCCTTAGAGAGCTGTGTAAGGAAGAACCCAGTATCTTTGGACTTAGCACTTAAAGACGGAGCTGCAGAGAGACATTTATAGCCTATCCAAGGCGAGAGATGAGCATTTCTGCTTCTCCAAGTAGATCCCACTTCTCCATAAAAGTCACTGACTCAGCACAAATGCTCAGAAATCAGCGTGTGAATCACGCTGGTTTTCTGCTACGGAATTCTGAATGTTAATGTGCTATTTGGGTAAATGCATAATGTTAATTAGACTGCGTRTTCCTCCTGCTTATATGAACATCCTTTAGTGATAGGGTGTTGTCTGCTTTTTCCAGTTATCGATTATTTTCCAGCTAGATTCTTGCTATTCTGATATATTGGTTCATACGCTATTCCTATGACTTGTGTTATGGTTGGATTTGACTCACAATCTTAAAACACTGTTTTCTGTTTCCATTTAATGTTGAGGGTCATGGCCAAACTCACTTCTGGCAGAAGTACTTATAACCCCATAGAAGTTTTGTTAAAGCTGTGAATGAAATGCAAACATTTAAGTGGAAGGTTTGAAGTTAGCAGGGACTATAGTTTTGCTTAACCGTTTTTCTTTGAAAATTTTATTTTGGTAAGTCAATATTTGCTTCTGATTGCCCTTTTTTTTTCTTTTTTGAGTAGTTTTGAGAACCATCATAATTTTCTTTGAAAATATCACATAAATACAAATACTTATTTTTGACCTAAGTGTGCACCTGTTGCAGAAATCAATCCTTTAAATAGTTTCCAGAGGTGATTGAAATGTTTCTCCAAAAACAAAGACCACTAAGGAAAGCCTTTCCTGAGCTGATACCTAGTGAYATTTCCATGAAAAAGTGCAGATAAAATCAGTGCTTTCAAACCTTCTTTTTCATTTCTCTCCTTTTTWAAAATATTTTGTGTTTGTGTTAAACAACTCATGGAAAGCCAAGAAATTACAGTCTACTTGGCTGATCCCATTCAACAGATGGAGTTGTGCCTTTACTTTTTGGAAAAATCCCACAGGAATTTTGCTCGCCAGCCTGCTGTTAGTAATCTTTTTTACTAAAAGTCTACGTTTAAATATTAGTAACATCAGAACCACAGAGATTTTTCACATGACCATTTCTGTTACATAGATGTTTTCTGTGATCTGAACGCTTGTATGTAATATACAAAAAGGAGTTGGGGCTTGCATATTAAAGATACAGCCTTTGTAAACTCTTAAGGGGCATTTTTTTCCATTTTTTTTTCCATTTCAAAATACAAGCAGTATCAAATGACTATCCCAAGATTTCAGCCTTTGGCATTACCTGGCAGCTAAAGTGTCATAAACTGAATGTCCCCAGAGCCCTCGTTGCCACCATTTCAGCATTCCCTGGCTCTCCTCTCATGTCATACAACATTCCCCACTGGCCATCTCAAGCTCTTTCCGTGTTTAGCGCTGTGTTTATTGCTTCAATCTTTACATAAARTCAGGGAAACCACTTCTGAGGATTCTTTTATAGACCACATAAAAAATATCTTAAAATCCAGTGACAGTGGCATGGGCTGAATACTGTGTCTTAATCTTTATTCACATCAAAGAAAATGTAAAAAATAACGCTTGAACCAGCAAGTAGATAAAGTAACACTTTGTAAAACTTGTACATATTAATGGAGACTCAGCTACAACAGTTCCAGGTAGGCAGTATTCAGCTTCATGTAACAACATTCACTGCCTTTTTCTTCCCATTTTAAGAGATTAGTCAAGGCTTTTGGAGGTGATATTAGTCACATTGCTTATTCTGTTAGAATTCCCCTTTTACAAAATTTCCTTTACACAAGATACAAAGATATATGGAACATAAMAGTTATTATTTCAACAACTTAGCAGGAAGAAGACATTTTCAAGTAGAAGCTTGTAGATACTATAGCTGTCGTACTTGGCTAATTACCCTATAATGACTAGTAGCAATTTGTGCATCTCATGCCAATGTTTGAATACAATCATATTTGCTGTACTTCATATGTGTTTTTTTTTCTCAGTTTAGWCAATTGTTGTTAATCCCAAAATAAATATTGTAAAACTCCAAAACATAGCATAGATTCTCAAGCATAGATTATACACTTCGAAGTTAAAATCTTCCATTAATCTTTAATAAATGAAACATAGTAAACCAAATCACACTTCACACTGAAATATCCTTCAAAGTATTTACTCCCTTAAAATATATATTACTATTTTACAATTTAGTCATTGTTGCTCGTTTTACATAACTTGTTTTAGTTATCATGTTAAAAAGCAAAAAAAGGTCATATTTGTAAATTTGTAAGTGCTTACAAGTGCTTTGCATCACTCGCTTGCCTAACATCATTAATAAACAGTTTCTTYAATAATAATTAAATAAACAGCAAAGACCACACTTTTACTGGTAGTGAAATACAGCCCTAGGAGTTTAAAGCCTTCTCTATAGGTTGGTATCGAGGTTGGTATGTACCTCATTGCTAATATAAGCTGCATCTTGTCTCAGAATGTTTACAACTGTACTTGCAATGTAATTAAATACAGGCTAGAGATTGATGTGGGCAAATTTATGCTTGCTACCTACAATAAGAGGTGTAATGATAGTATCTTTGGTTTGTCCACCCTGAAATGTTTGACCATGTGATCATTTTTCATCTGTTGTATTTTAGAATAAAAAGGTACTTCACCCAGTCTCTTCCCTGTGTATTGTTGCCACTGGGTTTTCATGATGCTGTGACTTTAAAATGGGCTACTCAGGATTTGGGGAAAGATAATGTTCTAATTTTACACTTTCTCATAATCATATAAATAATTTAAGATACTATGGTACCTATAGTCAACAGTTTCTGAGAGAGAGCTTGATCATCTACAAAAGTTACCYTGTAACATTTGTCTAGCTTAAAAGATTTGGAAGAAAACACAATGATTTGAAGGAAAGCAAAATGTTTCTGGAAATCTCTCTGTGTATTTAGAGGCATTATCGTATCAACTTGCATCCTGGCTGCTGCTGCTTCCTCCTGGTGTGTCTAGCCCTGTAAGTGGGTGGTAAGATAACACAGCCTTTCCTTTCCTCCACACAGAAGGAATAGGACCTTGGGCCTCAGCAGAGAAGTTGACAGGACCAAAAAGAGTCTTTTTTCTTTACATGCTCCTCACACTATTTCCACTTGCCCTTCAGTTCTTTCACCAACTTGTTTTGGCAAAGGGAATCATCTTCATTTTCTACTTTTTCCTCAAGGCTTCCTTTACATCTCTGGGCAAACGACATGGTCTTATGCTCCCTAATTCTTTTAAAAATAATACACAGTGCTTCCTAAGTCACACTTATGCCATGGCATACACTTAAAATTGTGAAGTACAGATATTGCAAAAAGTAGGGCCATCTCAAGAGATACTGAATTTTATTCTAAGTGCCTACCAGATGTATGTTATCAGATGTGCTTTTGAGTTATTTTCAAGTAAAAACACAAGTGTTAATTCAGATACATAGGACACTGTTTAAAACTTTACAATTATAAAAGCTCGTTTACCACAGACAGTGAAAGCACCAATGCAATATTCAGGATATTTACATAGCAATACCAAGACTTAACCTATGCCAAGTTTTAGCAATAACTATTCAGAATCATTAATCTGTCTTTAATACCTTATGTGGGGCAATCAGTCTCTAAAAATTTAAGTGGAAACACGTTATTTTGTGTAGAACTATTTTGCGCCAAGCCTAACTGAATATTTGAACTCTGCCTATAATACTGAGTAAGTGCAAAATTGAGTGCAATCCATTGCAGACCACTTAAGAGGATGGCCCGGCCCTACGGCATGAAACTTTTGGGTCTGATCATGATTCTCACGGATTTAAAGGGCTGCCGATAACCACTGGGAATATCGTCGGCCATGCCGTGCCACGTGCCCCAGAAGATGCCGTTGCGAACGCCTTTGTACTTCTCGTGGTAGTACTTGCCGTTGAGGTTGGCCGACAAGCACGCGTCGAACCACCAGCCCGAGCTGTAGTAGGCCCCGCAGTTGCCCGAGGCGTATCGGTCGTTGTCCTTGTCCGGCGTCGTGAAGAACTTCTGGTCGTGGTTGTAGCGCTTGCTGTAGTGGAGGGCATCGCCCGCCGTGCCGCTGTAGCCGTGCACGCTCAGCCGGTACTTCAGGTACTCGTTGGCCACGTAGAAGTGCTCGTACTTGGCGTATTCCCTGATGCCGTTGAAATCYTCCAGCTCGATCCGCAGCTGCATCTCCTGGGTCTTGGTCAGCAGGTGGATCTTGTCGTTGCCCAGCCAGAACTCCCTGCTGAGGTTGCCGAAACCGCTCTTGTAGTCGCTCCACGTCCTGTTGAAGCTGGTGCTGCCGTCCTGGCGCCGCTGCAGCAGCGTCCAGCCGCCGCCCAGCGCCTCCATGTCGCAGTACACGTCGAAGCTCTGGTTCCTGGGGTCCGGCGTCACTCGGTAGATCCCGTTGTTTCTTCTGCCCGCTGTGTAATAGTCGGCGCAGTCTCGCTGCATGATTTGTATAACTGGAGGGAAAACAGACAGTGTTCAAATAAACACATTTTGAATTAAAAAAAAAAAGAAATTGTTAGCACCATTCCATAAAGAACATTTGACACCCAGTGTAGGCTCCATCAAATATTGTCTCGTGCTTCATAGAKTCTCTTTCACTTACCAAATGTTGAGTTTTTTGGATTTTTTTTTCAGTTATTGTTAAGTAGGAAAAGTCAAAAGGTAGCTGAAGTTTCGTGTTACATTACCATCATATTGGACTTATATTACATCAGACTTTGACAATATCTAATGAGTCCAACTCAAGAAAGTTGCTTAAGAGAGACACACACGTTGAGCTTCTTGGATTAGAGGGACTCATGCAAACAAAATGGTGCTACAGTAATGTCATTTCTTCCAGGGAGACAGCTTTTTTCCATCCATTTTGCTTGGTGGTAGCTACCACCTAAGCTGCCTAGATCAGATGGCTTTACATGACGTTTGTAGCAAGGCTTCAGGTTGGCTGTTGTTCAGTGAACATCACTGGATACAGAACATCATGTCCTTAGGAATTTTTTACATATTAATATTTTTTTACAGCACTTTAGGAAACAAAGTAGTAGAATTGCCTCATCTATTGTTGTAGTGCTGTGATTCCGAGAAAGATGAAGCTGAAAAGTGACAGCACTTTCCTGTGTCCCTGGCTTGAAAGTAAGGAAAAGGTTTCAGCATCTGCCATTTACACAGCTTTTTCTCCCTATGTATTTTGCATAAAAGAAAAATACCCCCAGGTGTTTCCTGCAGAATATAAATCCATATTCTGTCCACTAATTTGGTAATAACATGGCRTGCCACAGTTTTCATAATGGTATTCCAATCCCATGTTCCTAAATAAGAGACAGCGAGCTCGCAGAGGTCAGAGTTAAGAGCCAAGACCACTTTGACAGGTTCTGTTACCGATTTGAGTTTGTGCTGTGTTCTTTTGCAGAGCTCAGCTGCATGTTTTCCTAAAAGATTTTGAATAATTAAGCTRCTTCTTTACCCAAAGACTTAAAAGCTGTATTTAAGTCCCAAACTGAAAGATTTTCATTAATTTCACTGGACTTTGTGTAAAATCTTAAGTTGTCGAAGTTTCAGAGCAGGTGTTGATAGAAAATACACATTTGTGGTAAAATCTTTTTATAATCCAGTTCCGTTCCTATTTAAGTAAGTAGTTTTGTTATCACTTTCAGTAGAAGCAGGAATAGCTCCTATATGGAAAATGCTGTAACTATTACACCTGCTAGTTTTCATAATGTATATATTTCATAATGTATATATACATGAATATATAGAAGRAAGAAATATATAGTGGCTTATATGGAATGACCAGTATCCCATATTTCAGCAAGAGGTGTGAGAAATACCTAAAATGACTTTAGWCTAATATCAAGTGTTGTACCTAAATTTCATTATCTATTGTCAATGTACAAGATAAGAACCATTTTATTTGTGACAATTTTGAATGAACCTACTCACTTTATACTGATTTAAGTTGGTTGCTGATTCAGTAAAAGTATTTCTTGTATCATTATGCATTTGCTCTTCCTATGCTTCTCAGAATTTCAGCTGTACATGCCCTGTACAATCTGCAGATCCTTCAGTTTTCATTTTGACTAGGCAGAAGTTTTATTTTAAACCTGGATATTGAGCAATAGAGTCTCAAAAACTGAAATGCAGTCTGATATTTCATTACTTTATTTCTACACAGCAGTATGTGATATCTAAGTGATAGAATACACCAACAATCTTGTGAATAGTTCTCATTCTCAGTATTCACATTTTCAGTATTTCTTACTTTGCATAAAWTGTTCACAATTTTTTAATCTTTTAACAAAGGTGAACAGAAAAGGGAAAGTATTAGTTCTGTTTCTTGATTTTAATTAGGAAATTAGTAAACAGTAAAAGAAAAATGTTTCTTTGAGGTAACACCTGTTACCTCTTTTATATTTCTTATATATTAGATTTATTGTTTCTTAGATTATATACAMTAATATATTAGCTTATATTATTTCTTATATATCCTATATAGGAGATATCGCCTATACATAGGAGATACATATGAGATATATAAGAAATATATATGAGATATTTCTTGCTAAGGATGTGTTACATGCATTGAGAGGTACTCTTGGCAKGCTTTTTAGCCAAGCTTTTTGGATATTTGCTGTGATGGTAGAGAATTATTTTGTTATCGCTCTGGCAAAATAGAAACATTTTACTAGATTCATTTCATATTTAATGATGATTTACAGAGCATTTCAGAATAGTTGAAATGTCTAAGGTACTGCTAAAGAGGATATATGCCCCCTTCATCCAAATGGAAAGTATATGTAGTTCTCTGGTGTTTACTATCCTTTATTATACGGTGTAAAATAATACACGGTATACGGTGTAAAATAATACATTAATTGTTCATATTCAGTAAATAAATTACAGAAAATGTTCTTGCAAATCCATGCTTGTTATGGTTTTAACCATAATAAGGTTAAATTCTGGGAGGAAGGGAACACCTGCACCTCCGTGCAACCCTCTAGTGGCAGGTGAAATGTTTTACAGGACTGTGTGTAAACCCTGACAGCAAATCCTTACATCGTGAAGCAATACATGGATAGCACACCTGCCTGATGAAGATATGTTTGAATTCTTTCATCTAAGCCCTGTCAAAGGCACAGAAAAGCTCGTGCAGGCATGAGGAATCAGCAGGTTACCTACCAGGGCTTGGTTGTCTTGCTGGGCAGTTGGAAGAGCATTTGCTGTCCAGGTTGTTCACGGCAAACGTCAAATTGGCRACTTTGCTGTCCACATAGTGTTCCACGTTGTTCATGTTGATGAGGCTCATCTTCTCCAGGCGACCCTGCAGCGTCTGAATCTGAGCCCTTGCATTTTTCAGGCTGGTGGACATCTTGTTGACTTTGCTTTGCAGCTCCTTCACTCTGTTATCTTGGATGTCACTGTTTACCAGTGGAGTTTCTGCATTAGGTGGCAGGAATTCGTTGCTACTGTCTCTTTGTTGGTTGTCATCTGCCTGCAGCTTGCAATCCTGGCAACATTTCCTCAGCTTGTTTACCGCTTCTTTAAGGGTCTGGACTTCTTTGAGAGTCTTCTCGATCAGCCTGAATTGCTTGGGGAGCTGGATGGTCATAGGAGGCAGGTTTATCTGATACGGACAGTCCTCTCCTTCATCGCATTTCCCGTTGGTTTTCAGCTTAATAGGACACGTGTCAGGACCTTTTCCTGCTTCAGCATCCTCTGCCTCTCGTAAAGCAGCTACAAGCCCCTCTGTTGAAGCGAGCAGAGCCGTCCGAAGCAGGACGAGGGAAACGAGCAGCTTCATCTTCACAGGGAAGGCAGCGGTATGAGGAAGTGTGCAGAAGTGGAGGTTTTATAAGCGCAGCGCGAAGCCTGCGAGTTATCAGAGCGCCTGCACTGTTCTCAGAAATGGGTGGGAGTGCTTGCATCACGGGCGGTATTCATAGCAGAGCCAAGTAGGTAGTGCTTGGCAAAAGGAGCCGATTTCGGGCTTGCTTCCTGACTCAGAGCTTGTGTATGTGAGCAAAATGATGAAATGCATGTGTGCCGGTCACCGAGGCAGGCTAATTCCCCGGGTTTTGAACACGGATTTTCTTTGGGAAGGGCAAGATCACTTGGCTCCGTGTTTTCATAGGCTGTTAACATCTGTTTCTTGACATCTGAATGTTTGAAAATTGTTCTTAAAAAGCAGAACACGGGCTGATCCCAGCAGGTGCAAAAGGTGAAAATCAGCCCCTTTCCCAATGCGATGCCTATCACAACAATAACCCCATTGACACTGACTCTTCCCCTTCCTTAAACTGTTTTAGCTGAATAGGTTTATTCATAAGAATGATTAAAATCCCAAATATAACAAAATACACATAATTTTCATTCCAAATTTTTTTCCAGAATAAAGTCACAAGCCAAGGAGGATAAGCAACTCCTTTTTTCTTATTATTTTAGCTAACAGTACTTAAAATAGTTATTTGGAATATTYGTGATCTGGGCCATCACAAGTCAAATTCATTTCTGTGTGATTCTGAGCCAGCATCCAAGGAAGGATTTTCCTCTGGAGAATGTCCTATCCAGAGCAGGTTGCTGGATACCCAGAGGTAGCTCAGCACTGTCACCTTTTCCTTTTGAAATTCTTCAGCCAGCCTCCCAGCAGTCTGTCCCTTTGCCTCTTAAACTTAGATTAAAATAAAATAAAATAAAATAAAAAGAAAGAAAAGAAAAGAAAAGAAAAGAAAAGAAAAGAAAAGAAAAGAAAAGAAAAGAAAAGAAAAGAAAAGAAAAGAAAAGAAAAGAAAAGAAAAGANAAAGAAAAGAAAAGAAAAGAAAAGAAAAGAAAAGAAAAGAAAAGAAAAGAAAAGAAAAGAAAAGAAAAGAAAAGAAAAGAAAAGAAAAGAAAAGAAAAAAAGGGAACAAGATTTTTGAGATCCTAAGTGTTGTGTCAGCTCTGCAGAAAGCCCAGGGCAAAGCCTGGCATTCCGAGTGCTGCTCCAAAGCTGTAAGTCAAAAGCTAGGCTGGGAGCTAGGGAAGTAGCTATGATCTGTCTGTTTAAGGTATTCTTTCCTGAATTCCTGCCTTTCAGTTCTTTTTTTTTATTATTATTCTTTTTATTGCACCTTGTGTCAGCTTCAAGAGTTAATCATTTATTTTTCGTGACTAATCCACCAGATGAAATACAGGCTGTTGTTCTAGATGCCAACTCCCCTGCCCTTACTCACTTGGGTTCCACCTTCCCTTGGCAGCCACCTTTACCTCTCTCACGCGCTGCCCATGCACTGTCACCGACAGACAACTTTTTCTTCCCTTGTGCTCCGAAACAGAGCTCAGCTGGTATCTTTGGTGCATTCACAGCCCTGTCAAGAGCTGAGTACCTTGCCTGAGGAAAGCCTGTTAACGCTAGCCTATTAACACTAGTGTATTAACCAAGCATATTGCCACTAGTTGCTGTTTAATTGATCCTACGGGAGCGGTTTATTTCTCTAAACCCTTCTTGCAATTACTCCTACTGCAAATTAAACATTAAACAGACACTAATCACACACATGTTGCCTGAGTTCCTGATCTCTGGAATGTCTCTAGTTTTTATAGAGCCCACACGCACTCGCTGATAATGCAGCCAGKGGCTTGGGGAAAAGCCACCAGGTAAACCTGCTGCAACAAGCCCTTCACATTCCTGTATGGACTAGGGGATGGGCAATTCCTTGCAATTCCTTGGATTTCCACCTTTCACAGTGGACATCCCAATGGCAAAACTTTGTTTCTGTGCTGACCAGGCTCCCTCGTTTAGTTTACTACCTGCTCTGCTACTTTATCCTGTTTGTCTTCACATTGGACAAACTACTTTGCATCTGTAAAATTAGTAATGATGGTATTTGGTCACCAATGAGTTATGAACTGGCTTGGAAGTCCTCTAGTCCCTATCAAATATTTGTGATTATTGTGCTGCCCTGGAAGGTTAAGAATCTGAGAGGCTTCAAGAAGGACAGAAATTTCTAGTAATGGTGAATATCAAAGAAAAGGAAGTTCAGACAGCAACATAATCYCAGCCTTTTAAACATTTTCTCCTAAGACAATCATTCCTTGGTCTCCAGTGTATCTGGGATTTGGGATGTTACCTGCCTCCTTTGGATGAGCTTTCTGTGATTTGAGGTGCTCTGTAGTCCCTCTCATCTCRATAGTCTAATGCTCTGCTCATGTTCTCTGAGCAGTCTTTTCAGAGCCCAAAACTTCTCTTCTATGGAGAAAAGTGTTGGAACTGAGGACTGGGTTTTATTCCCATTCACAACAATTGGCCAGGTATCTAGAAGTAGAATTATACCCTTGATTTTTGATGTTTTTGTGTTTCGTATCTCCATAACTTCCTAGAGTTAAGTGAAGCAAACTTTCAAAATGGAGTTTTTCACAAAAAATCCTTGTGGAATCCTTGGAAGAGTCACTGAGTGGTAAGATGCTGATGCAGAAATACTAGATCAGATGAAAATCAAGAACTACAGAGTTTATTTACAATCATGAAAGTTTTCCCAAATGGAACTTTTCCACATCCCTTTTTTTTTCCACATCACTTTTCCRGAATGTTATGTGTAATAGTTAAACCTAAGCGAAAACTATGAGTTTTTTTTTATCTGTTTAAGAGATCTGATTAACAACTGATGATGACAAATGAGACTTTTCCATCAATGTTCCATATTTGCTTAAAAGTCTCTTTCTTATAGCTTTTCATCTCTTCTAAACATTATTAATTTATTTTTATTTGAATTTATTTTTATTTGAACTGATCTTATTCTTAAAGACATATCTTTCCAATCATAAAGAAAATAATGTAGAGCTCATGAAATTCTATAATTCTGCATATTTTCACTCTGTTCCCACAACTACTGATTGSCTGGAAGGTTAAACAGCCTTAGCACTGCGATATATTTTGTTTTAACAAACTTGTGCTACGATTGTTTATTCAACATTTATCAGTAGTAGCATGAACCATTTCCCATGATTTTTTTGAGTATTTTTTTTTTTCCTGGAAGATCATAGAATGTAGATCAAACAGAAAAGTCAAATAGAAAACAAGAAAGGTAAGATTGCGAGCAGATGCTCATTTAACTAGTGACTATGGCAATTTAAAACACTGCACCTTGCCATCTGTTTGGGATCCAGGTTTCTGCTACCATCTCCTGCCACGGAGCTGCTGCCAAACCTTGGTTTGTTTAAGCAGTTTAAATAAACAAAACTTGAAGCAGATCTGGGGGTGATCAGATAAGCCAGTTTGGTGGCAGAAATGGGATRTGGAACTATGTTTCTGTATAGATATAGAAACAGATATAGAAACTATGGTTTCTATATCTACAAACAAATTCAGATTTAGGATTCCTTCTGATTAACACCATTATTTTCATTCTTTTATTCAATGATATTTCTTTATGCAGTGTTTCCTTTTTACTAAAGGAGTCTCTAGATTGTGCACTGGATTCTAGGACTGCCTGTTCAACACAGCAGAGGAGTAAAAGRGATTCCTGTTCCATAGAAGCTTAGTTATTAATGCCATATATATAGATTACATAGAAGTGGCTCCATGGATTGACTTTTAAATCGACTCTTTGTTTTCCAGCCTGTCCTAGGCCGTTATCCCTGCTTTACCCGAGCCATCCCCAAGAGCACGGGCTGCCAGGCCCAGCATTCCTGACCTTGTATCATCTTGGTGGGGGCTTTAATATTCTTCACATYGGGACTGCCTGTTCCCATGAAAGGGGTATAAAACCACTGTTACTAACTGAGCCTTGGGAAAGAATTTGTGGTACTATTTTCCTGGTTAATTGTTTGTTAGTTTTATAAAGCTTTCAGCAGTTTCCTTTTCATTATAAGATGCCTGGTTGATCCATCCATAATAAAGAAATGAAATTGTAGAAATTCCATTTAATGCAAACCAGGGATATATCTGCTGTAACTATAGTTAGGACTATAGATAATGTATTTATGTGTGCCCTGACTTTCCATTTGTCTCTTGTTTATACCATCACCTGCATAGAGCTTTTTGAAAGTGAAGTCCTTTGCTACMTAGTAGGCTGTGAGTCCTTCAGTGATGCTGTGTTGGTATAAAAGACTATCAAAATACAAGTGAGTACCAACATTTCTCAGACTGATTTTTTTAGCAATTGCATGTATATTGCAGAATCACAGAATCACAGAATATTCAAGGTTGGAAGGGACCTCTAGAGATCATCTAGTCCAACCTTCCTGCTCAAGCAGGGACACCCAGAGCATGTGGCACAAGGCGGCATCCCAGGTGGGTTTTGAAGACCTCCAGAGAAGGAGACTCCACAACCTCCCTGGGCAGCCTGTTCCAGGGCTCTGTCACCTTCACTGTAAAGAAGTTCCTCCTCACCTGGAGATGGAACTTCCTGTGTTTCAAATATATTAGTATATTTGCATATATTTCAAATATATTAGTATATTTGCATAGCTGAATGATGCCATTTCTTTACTCATTTGTGCAGCCAATAGCCACATGGCTCCAGATGTGACTGGGTACACCCTACATTAAATGTTGAGAAAATTGAGTGTCAAATATTTTTCTGTTTTTCTAGTAAGAAGACTTTCCCTGTGAACTTTCCATCCTATCCTTCAAAAGCTGCACGCTGTCAGTTGGTGTGGGCTTAGAGACAAGAAGAGTTATGCCTTTCATTTGTCAGTCCCACAGACAGTGTTAATTCAAGAATCACATGACATTTCTCCTCACCTTTTACCAATATAACCTTTCTCTCTGAAAGAATGACTCATGGCTGAAACACTGTGTATCCTTCCCCTAATCATCTGCT